CTTCTCCCATGATTGGAACACTAATTCTTAACGGGACCTCAGTTAAGCCACAGAGCCTCTGTAAGGTAACAGAGATTAACACTGTATAGTAAAAGGAAAAAGCAGGTCCCAAATATGAGTCCCAGCTTTGGTATAAGCCCTGTCATATAGCTGACTTTCAGGTAGCATATCTTTAAGAGTGTGTGGAAATAAGGCACTAAAAATCAGAGTACAGATGTGTTTCATGTGTTTAATTTGTGCTGGCAGCTGCTTTCCTGGTACTGTAAAATTATACCAGCGCCGTTACCATTGGAGGCTGGAGAACAATCTATGATTTATGACATGATTTACCTTCACAAGGAAGTAAAGGATATTGTGCCTTAAGATTTCTGGTCAAAGAATTTATATTTCTCTTAACACTGTTGACAATATCAATGCCAGAAGAAACAGTATTATACCCACTGGAGGAACCAAAATTAGAAATGTTCACTATTTTCTAGTCTGAGGACCCCAGGTGGCAGAATATGACTTTTGGCAGGCCTCAATTATTTAATCTCCCCTCTCCTTTTCCCTTTGTTGTTGTTGTTGTTGTTTGCCGTCGAGTCGGCCCCGGACACGACTCATAGCGACCCCTCCTTGGGTTTCCGAGGCAGTATCACTACGGAAGTAGATTGCCCCATCTTCCTTCCGAGGAGTGGTTGGTGGGTTTGAACCGCCAGCCTTCTGGTTAGTAGTCAGCAAACCAAATAAATCAGTTAGTATTTATTTAACTTGTCATTTTCTTGAATCTGAACTCTTCCTATAGAGCTGCTGCTCTCATAAGCAGCTGCTCCAAAAGTGTAGAACCACCCTAGAAAAGCTATAACCCACAGCCATGTGAAAAATTTTGTTCTGGGTCTCTCTGAAGGTCAGGTTCATTGTTTAGTGGGTCTCAGTGTTGAGTTTCAGTCTAACTCCACCTCAGGGGGTTCACCCAACAGTGACAAGCCTTCAAAAAGATGAAATCAACTTGGCCTCTCTCCCAAATCACAAGAGCACGTGTTTGAGTCCTAAGACCCAGACACTGCTGACAGGAGCAGCTACTCCAGTTCCAAGTCAACTACAAGTCAGCTGTTGATTTTCCTGAACCTGTGGAACTTGCATAAACCCACCATTGCCAGTGAGTCTATTCTGACTCAGAGCAACCCTACAGGACAGAGTAGAAGTGCCTCATCAGGTTTCCAAGACTGTAAATGTTTATGGAAGCCAACTGCCCATCTTCTGCAGAAAGGCTAGTGGGTTTGAACCGCCAACCTTCTGGTTTGCAGCCAAATGCGTTAACCACTGTGCCACCAGAGCTCCTAGGGAATTTGCAGACAAATGTACAATTTAGCACATCCAGGCCCGAGTTTGGTCACTCAATAGAAAGCATGAAAGAAAAGCTGCAGAAGAAACAGACATGATGGTCTTCAGAGGGGTAATCATCGTATAATTTGACCTCAACAAGCTGAAAACAGCCTGAGTTATGCAGACAATACTGGGAATATGACCGTGCTTTGAAATGGCAAAAGCCTCTCAAGAAACCTCAGTAACATCTGTTTGTTAACAAGCAATACGGATTAACTACATGTCTTGGCTGATTACGTTATACACAATTCTCAAATAAACACATTCAGTAACCCAAATTACACTGTTATTTTTTTTTTTTAGACTTCTGTGATGCAAACATATTTTTCTGAGTTTGTCTTGCCAACACTTATTTATGAGCCTCACACTTTGTTTTATTTTGATAGGATATTTTAGTATCACCCTCCAAATCATACCACACTCTTGCCATGCAAACCTATTACCTTTGGTCTCTAGAGTCACCGGCTCAGAATTCTCTCCAGCCACAGCCTTGTTACAAGCTCGCACTCTGAAATTCATATACTTCGCGTCAAATTTTAAACCTGCCAAGATGAGAACAGCTTTCAGACACGAAAAGTAAAGGAATCTATCCCGAATGTGTGAGTATGAACCTTTAAACAGACACTCTGCCATCCCTGAAGGTATCTCCTTACTCAGGAGCAGTAAGAATTTATGCTAAAAGGTTGATAATGCTAGAAACAAGGGAAACATGACTGATCTACTATTTTCTTCAAAAGAAATAGATTACACAGTTTATCAGTGGTTGTTTCCTGCTGTTTTTGTTTTTCAAACCCTGTAATAAAATGGTACTTTTCAAGTCTTATCAAAAGTACTATTTCATTGAAGAAGAGAGCACAATTTAAAATACCAAATCCAACTTCTCAGAAGCTGACACCCCCAAAAGATTTTTATGTTTACAAAACACTGTTATATGTAAAGAACAGATTTAAAGAGGAAATGAAGCATACAAATTAACAGCAAAAACTTCAGGTTAGTGAGCTCTAGATCAGCACCTCAGTCCAAAAGTTACTACATATGGGACCTTCAGCAACTTGAATGATGAAACCACCCACTTACCTAAACCCATAGGTGGTGGACTACACTGACTATGTGCACCGGACAGTAGGGAACACACTCATCTCAGCTCTTGACCAATGTAAGTGCTCAGTCCCACAGCCACTGCCCCACAACAGTGAATGGAGGTTACGAC